TTATGAATCAGAAGGTGTTCAGGGTCAAAATGGACACAGACGTTAGAACCAATTGTATTTGAAGGGAATAGTGTAACTTCTATTGTTTAGATTTGCTGACTATTCAAAATATCTTACTACTGATTGGTTAAGTATATCCCATAGAGTTTAATAGAGAAGGTTCAAAATCTTTGGATACTTATCCCGATGCAATTTTTTTTTTCATTCTTACTTTGAAAAATATATTAGATGCTATTATTTGAAAAAAGTCGACATATTTCATTTATGTTGGAGATTGTTGGAAATGGTTTTAAGTAGTGAATTGGTCATATTTGAGCTCTAATTTTGGTAGGACTCATACTTCGATTTTTACGTGATCAAGCATATTTACGTTCTACTCCGTAAAGTGATTAATGTGATGTATTTATTTATTGAAAATCATTTAGGATTGAATGAAATATTTGAGGTCAATGTAACCCACTTGAAACTATAACTAGTAATCTATTTGATTTATTGAAAATTGCTAAAAACTTATCCCATATAGAAAAATTAGGAAACTTTGGTATGATTTATATAGTGAAAGTTTGACGATTGGGTTTGGACCCAAAGGGTACCAATTGTATCTGAAAGGGGAAGATTATATCCTATTCGGTTCGATTCTAAAACCAAAAACTCATGCTGTCATCCAGTCGACTCGACATGGCATAACACGAGTGCGTGTACGAGTTCAATTCATGTTTTGGAGCGGGCGCGGGTGGATCCTTGTACTATATTATCTTTTTAGACAAAATTTATTTAAATTTTGGGTGAAATGATAAATAATCAAATTCTTGTGTATTTAATGGAATTAATTTTAAACGATAATTTTTTCTTACAATTGGCTTTTCCCACGTTAACTGACTTAATGGACGCAGTATTTTATTTTGAACAGTGCCGTCTATTCGAGTTTAGATGACTGTCTGAGCAATGGTGATTGTTCTGAAAAAGCCTTGAAGGATGTTTGAATGATTATGAACGAATCTATAAATAGCCTGCTCTGTTGCCAGAATAATTCACTATTTTTATTGCAAACATTCTCTGCTTTGAATATCATTCTCTCTTTTTCTCTTGTTCTGATATTGTTCTCGAAATAAAAGCACTTTATTGAGTTTATTGGAACTCTTGTACATTGTTATGCTGCATTTATAGGAGACACAATTTTTTATTTTTATTTTTGTCTTGGGAAACAATTACTACAAGTCTTTAGTACATTTGAAGGCAGTAAATTCGTTTGAAGGAAACATCGTAAAGTTGGTGGGCTCGAATTAATATTTTGATCTTGTTAATAATCTTGTTACGTTGTTTAAATTACAATACGATAATTTTGTCGTTGTATTATTTTCAAATTGTTCGAATGAGGAACTTATACTCTAGAAACAACACTTTTTAATCATACATTCTCAAAAAAATTAATATTTCAAAACTCATTTCCCTAAAAAATCTCATTAAAATGATGTCAAATAGGGGCCAAGAATGCAAAGTCTATGTTTAAGAAATCTAAAAGGGTAATTTAGTATAAAATGTCTTTACCTTTCAATGTTATCGTGTAAAACGTCCATATCTTTTATTTTTTTGATATTTTCATCCTTACATTCACCTTTCATTGTGAAAATCATCATTTTTATCTAATTTCTCATATAAAATGACAAATATACGTCTGTACCTTTTCATTTTTTTTTGATATTTTCAACCGTATTTTCACATTTCATTGGGAAATTATTATTTCCATCAAGTTTCTCAATTAAAAGCAGTAAAATGACAAATATACACTCCTCTTTAAATAAACAAAAATAAAGAAAAAAATAAAAAATAAATTACAACTATACTCCCCCAATTTTAAAAAAAGTACAAATAAACTCCAAATAAATAATTAGAAAAGAAAGTGATTTTTTTTTAAATTTTATTATTTATTATTTATTTAATTTATTTGTGCTTTTTTGAAAATTTTAGGGAGTATAGTTGCAATTTGTTTATTATTTTTTTTCTTTATTTTTGTGTTATTTAAAAAAAGAGGATATATTTGTTATTTTATAGCGTTTACTTAAGAAATGAATGAAAATGATAATTTTCGAAATAAAATGTGAAAATAAGGATGAAAATGTCAAAAAATGAAAGATATAGGAAGGTAGGGACATATTGCAAAATAATATTGAAAGGTATAGATGTTTTGTACTAATTACATTTTTAATAATTTATTTGAACTCATTTGTACTTTTTTAAACGTTAGGGTGTATGATTGCAATTTGTTCTTTAATTTTTCTTTTCTTTTTTATTTTATTTAAATATGAGGGTATATTTGTCATTTTAAATGAGAAATTGGATGAAAATGATGATTTTAGCAATGAAAGGTAAATGTAAGGGTGAAAATGCCAAAAAATGAAAGATAATACGTTTTGCACAATACCATTGAAATATAAGGACGCTTTGTGCTAATTACCCAGACAAAAAAATGACTTATAATTTACTTTTGAAGGTAAAATTTTGTTTTTAACCACATATTTCTATCGATCCATAGTTAGTATTCACTTTTTTATTACTTAATTGTATCATATTAAAATTTTATTAACTCATGTCCTTGTTTGAGTCTCATTCTTCTAAAAACTCATTTTTTTAAAAATTCATTATTAATCATATATTTTTCAATAAAATAATATTATAGACAAATTTAGAACTTTTTGATAATTTTTAATCACATATTTTTTATCAATCTACAATTCATGCATTATTTCCTTCAAAATGAGTTCAAACAAGGGGTATAATTTCATCAAAACACGCAAATGTAAAAATGAAAAGTACTTTACTTTTACAAAAGTAGTGGTTCCAATTGAATTGAACCAACTTAAGGTGTTGCTTTCCACGGTAACGTGCACGGGGCCAGTGCAATGCACACGGCTCTCGTAGGTCTAGCAGTAGGCCATCATTTTAGATACTGTCAACGGCGGAAGTAGTGCGATGCACATGCCTCTCACGTCGGGTCATCTATAATTCATTGCCAATGTTTGCCTCTCATTTATTTATTTATTTATTTTTTTTACACACTCGTTTTTAACTATATATCCATGCAAGAAAATATATTACACTTAAATCAAAATTTTCCAACCTTTTAATAATGCATTCTCCAAAATTCACTATTTTCCAAAAATAAAAAAAAAATCACCACCAATTCTACATGTAAACTATATATTTACACATAAAATATTTTACACGTAAACTCAAATTTTTTTTTATTTTTTTATTTTTTAACCATACATTCTCCAAAATACTACTATTCAAAAATGTAGTTTTAATATAGTCCAAACAATGGCTGCATTTATTCGAACTTAACGTATAAATTTGTAGTTAAGAGTCTCGAACTTACAAGTCTAAAGTGTATTCTATCATGTTATGGTAGAAAGATCAACTTGGTTAAAAAAATTTACTCTGAATTTTTTTTTTTTTAATTCTCTTAAGATTATCGACATAGGTGAATAGGTAGAGAATACGTAGAGAGATGGTATTGAAAAGTCAAAAACTAAGTGATAAAGACTTTGTGAAATATTTCCAACTTCACGACAAACTATATGTCGATATATTTATATCTACAAATCACACTCGATTTTGTTGTAAACTTAACATGTTGATGAATATATTTGTGTACAGATGTTTCTTGACACATCTTGACACGTGATTGGGTAATTAACTGGTATGAACATAAAATGGTATGTTAACATCGAAAAATAGCTTGTTCTTTAATAGATGCTGGCTAAAGTAGGGAAGGAATTCCCTTAAGTACAAGAAATGATTAATAGAAGTTTGTGATATTCCACATAGTAAATGGATATGCTTAATTATAATTGTAATTTTGCTGATTAATATTCTCTAATTCTCTTTAGATTTCACTTCAACAAGATAACACATCTTGTAGCTAGACATTAATTATTACTTTTAATGTTTTATTTCAATGACATTTGTAAACTGTTAACCTTATCTACTATGTGAACCATATTGAGCCCTAACCTTATCTACTATGTTCATCGTCTCATGCCGAAATGTTTCGAAAGAGTCAAAATAGATAATATGAAATGCTTTGAGTTACAAAAACAAGCATAAATAATTTATATTATTTTATCTACTATGTTCAATGACTCACGTCAAGATGTTTTCAAAGAGTCAAAATAGGTAATTTGAAATGTTTTGAATTAAAAAAATAAGCATAAATCATTTATATCATTTTATCGAAACAAATAGCCTCGACTAATCAAAATCAAAGGTTGATTGGTCCATTATCTCTCACCTATTAGACATGGTAATGGCGGAAAATATCTCTATAAGAAACTTTTAGTGTGGAATATTTCCATGTCATTCATTTTTTTAATAAAAAGTTGTGAAGTGACGAATATGCCATCCTAATTAAATAAAACAAAAATAAAAAAAGAAAAATAAATAAATAACTAATTGCAACTATAGTTCAAAATTTTCAAAATATTTTGATGTTATATCATCTATCATCATTCCCTTTATAAATAGGGCAACACACTTCTTTCGTTATTGGATGACGAAGAAAATGTATAATCAAGAATCGTATGATGAGTGATTTGAAGGATATCACAACTCGAATTTCGATGATGACTTCAATGAGTCTTTTCTTTTAGATGTGTATATTCTGAATTATCACGAAAGTTATTTAGAAATAAAGAAAAGATATACATAGAGTAAAAAAAACACACTCTCAAAATCACAAGTCTTGAAGAATTCAATTTCTTACGACCTTATTTATAAATAAATTAAAATTATATTAAAATCGAACATAATAAAAACACTCGATTGTTAACATTTCAAAGTAAAAAATCTAACACAAATATATTCATTTGATTTCATTATTTAGCAAGCTATAAAAAATAATGAAAGTTTTGGAGAGGAACAAGTCCTAAATAAAAGAAAAACAGGAGAATGGGGGTGGAAATTTATTCATGGAACTGTGGAAAGAAAATGGAATTCTTATGGAACCAAAAAATAGAAAGGAATAAACAAAAATACATTTTCATTGGCCCTCGTTGTCTCGCATTAAAATCCAGTGAAAATCTCTGAAATCCCTCCAAACCTCAACATTAATGGAGATTTTGTACATTTCTTTTTCACTTTTTCTCTGATACTGTTTCTCCAAGAAATTCAGAATATTTCTTCCCTTGGCCCATCAAGATTATTGATTCTTTAATTAATATCAGATTTCAAGATTCTACACTATATAAATACTTCAATTGTTTTGCATATGCTAGGGCTATGCTCCTCCGTTCCCCCTCAATTCCTTGATTTGTTGGATTCATTGTTCTTTATAAACTAACTATCCTTTTTCCTTGTTTGGAAAAATCAATTTGCTGCAAAACATCTGAAATTGGGATGCTAAGATTTGCTAAATGCGTCAGGTATCGGTATGATAAAGAAGCGTTATTCGTTATTTACATCAAGCGCGACCTTTTATCGTAATTTCAGATATTTGAGGGGTAATTTCATGGCGGCAGCCCCGAATTTTTTGGTGGGCCAAAGGGACTTGCAGATAATGTCTCCGAGAAGGCTTTTGTCGAATATATCTACTGCATCAGCCATTGATACAAGCAATGGAAGGTTTATTAGGGGATTGAGGTTCAAATGCTGTCGCTCGGAAAATTATGGCAATAAATTTCAAAATAACGATAATGATATTTTTAGTAACAGTAATGCGATGCAGAAGGCAAGGGCATTTGGTCCGTACTTGCCGCAATTTCTGTTTGATTCAGTAGAAGTTAGGGTGGAGGACAGGGCCAATAGTGTGGATTATGCCTTTAATGGAGCTCGCGATTGTGGCTCTACCAATAGAGGAAACTCGACTGGATTTCCGGATCAGCTCTTGCCCGAGAAAATCATGATTGCGGTGGATGTTGATGAGGGTATATGATTTTCTCTTCCGGTGTAATGATTTATGGTCTTGGTTGAATTCAAATCTCTCATTTTTATTGATAATATTAAGTAGTAAGACTTATTAAGACAAGGATGATGTGCTCTTTGTAGTTAAAATTACCAAGGTTCTAGGTATTGCAGGGAGAATGTTGGTGGGGGTTGACTTGCAGAATTGGTAGTTGGTTTAGAGCACTCTCTTAAGAACATTTTCTGTCAATATTCATACTATACTAAGTCATTGTGATCATCCTACTTATATCTCTATACATTTCTTTTGTCTTTGTTGGCAGTTCTTGGCAATTTTGTATCAGCTCTCAATCAATTCATTGCAGATCGATATTCTCTAAATCACTCAGTTGCTGAATACCATGTCTATGAGTTTTTTAAGGTACCATTTATTCTTTAACAAGTCTGTGTTGTATATGCTTGCTTGCATTTCGTATTTGCCATCTTCTCACACATTAACAAAAAAAGAATTTCTTGAGTTCAGATAAATAAAATATCAATGTTCTTATTTTATCACTGATGGGAAACCTTGATTATTGTGGTAGCAAAACTTCAGATGGCTTAGGCTATGATGAGAACTTTGTTTACCTGATCCACCAACTTGAGGGGAAAAAATTATGATTTATCATTTTTCCACTTTTACAATGGATTTCATGTGGTGTTGGTCCTTACCTGTTCCACCAACATACACCTTAACTTGTGAACTTCAATTTCATGAGCGCCAAATCATATCCTTATCTTGTCAAATACAAGTATCAGCAACCGTCAAGCTAACAACGCATAAAAAGAATTCAATAAAGCAAGCATTAATGATAAGATTCAGTATCACATGTTTAGCTATGTATCATTCTGTTTTATAACTCGGGCATATATATAAGCTTACCTTGTTTTGGAAATACTTGTGGAGGGTCATTCAAGTACATTAGAAACCTTCCCCTTCATTTTGATTTCTTTTTGTGTGTCTCTTGATCCTGCTTCTCCTATTCTTACTCTCGCCATTACTCTGGCTATCCTATTCCTTTGCTTCTGTTTTTCATCCTTTTCTTGCTTCCTCATTGTTTCTGAGAAATGTTTATTGAATATATCAATAAGCAATATTGGTCCACTGCCAAAATGAAAGCAATGAATAAACCAATCGGCTGCTTTTGAACCACTTCCTCAGGTCGTACTACTTTTGTCAACATAGCAGCTTTCTTATCATTTGTGTGATTGGTTGCTGAAAAAACTTTGTAGAATTGGGGCAGGATTATGGGCTGTTCTCCTTGATGGACTAACTGAAATCAAGAAAGATCTTGCTTCGTATTAAGAGAGTTGAGTTGTTATGGCAATGATTGATAGGTTCTCTTAGAGGTTGGGGGAAGTGGAAGAGGGGGAAAGGCCACAGCCAACTTTGTCATGATTTCATGGCATTTATTCTAGTGAATATTGGATCCAGATACAGATCCTGATAGATGTGAGAACCTGTCTTTTAGTTATCATATGTAGCACACTCGTTCATCTATTTACCTAGGTGTATATATAGTCCGTTCTTCGCACCTGCATTTCATGTCGTATACAAATTAAATTTCTCGTCTTTGCCCAGGCTCAATTAGTTTTGAGCTTGCACGTCTTTGAAGATTGATGCTTACTCAGGACAGAATCAAGCGTCCTTGTGGTAAAAGCTCCTATTTTCTTTATTATAATGGAAGTGCTCACCACTCGGGATTTTGAATTGGGTTGAAACAGCATTTCATACTTCTATAGTTTCCATGGTTTAAGATGTAAAATTGGATTAAAAAATATGTTATGGAGGTTGAAATGAAGGATATTACTTATTTCTATTAATTTTTTCTTATAGCCAGAAATAAATCATACCTATGCATATCTAACTCATATATATACTTTTATTATAAATCTTGCAGATATGGAACTGTTCTCGTGATGAAGGTATCCATAAAGTTTCTCTTTACTAGATTGAAACACAAAACTAATGGGTTTGTTATCTTTTTGTTCATACTGTTTGCATATTCATATAGTGGGTAACTTGTTTCTCACAATTCAGATAATGGTTTGATTGTAATTCAGTTTTCTAGAAAATTAAATGAAAGAACTTCTGAATGCACTTTTAGCTGTCCACAATGTTTTGCTTTTCTTCCAATTTTGGCAGTATAAAGTCGTTACGAAGAATTTCACCTATTCAATGTGTATTTTGGTCATATTACCTAGAACTTATTAGTTGCTACACCAATGCCCACTCCCTTCTTTTCCAATTTCATTTATTATGAATTGTTTTTGTGACTAAAATTTTTCCAATGACTGTCGTTGATTCTAGTATTAGATGAGGGCTTTGATTTTCTTTGATGTATAACTGCAAAAGGGCAAGTCTCATATTTATTTAGAGAACATCATATACCTTTTCTTTAGAAATTATTGCTCAATAGTTTGGTAATTTGTTGAAAAATGTTTAAATCTTTGTGTTAGAACACACTTGCATCTTAGCTTCCAACATGCCGTCACACCTTCCAGAGTCCCCATACTTGACAGCCTGAATAAGAAAATCATTATTTTTCTTTTGACAGCTGATATACGCGTGCACGAGTTCTTTAAGACATCTTATTTTAAGAAAGGAATTCATCCAATTCCAGGAGCCCAGAAAGCTCTTCAAAAGTTGTCCAAATTTTGTAATCTGTCAGTTGTTACGTATGTATCCTTAACCATTGCAGGCTTGACTTCTTTTTCAATTTGCCTTTGAAACTAATTTTCATTTATTAATTCTGCGCAGGTCCCGACAGAATGCAATTAAGGAGCACACAATTGAATGGATTGAGAGATATTATCCGGGGTTGTTCAAGGAGATCCAGTTTGGAAATCACTTTGCTTTGGATGGAAAATCCAGACGTAAATCAGACATTTGCAAGTATATTATTCATTATCTACTGTTAGTTTTTTTAACATGATATTAATGTTCACGTTTTACCTTCCATGACATGTCCAAGTATACTTTTCTTCATCAAGATAAGCGTGTAATTAAATTGCGGTATACTCTAGCGTGATTATATGCTAGGACAGTCATTATTTCTTGATCTGCAATCATGTCGATGAGGAGAGATGGTTAGAAATCTGTAAATATGTCCAAGAAAACTACCATCTAATCAACTTCGTCATTTTGCTTTGTTTCTGCCAGGTCCTTGGGAGCAAAGGTTTTGATTGACGATAATCCAAGATATGCAATTGAGTGTGCTGAAGTCGGCATTAAGGTTCTTCTTTTCGATTATGAGAATTCATATCCTTGGTCGAAGATGGAGTCTGTTAATCGACATCCTCTTGTCACCAAGGTCCACAACTGGGAAGAGGTGGAGCATCAGTTAGGATTATGGATTACGTCATGAGAAATTTATCCCAGAATTAGGTTCATGAGTCGTTGATTCATTAGAAGTAGTAGATTTTTTGCCTTTTAATTGCCGGATTGTCAAATTACTGGAAAATTGTATTTTTGACGTATTGTCGTCTTTGATGGAGTAGCTTGAAAAGGGCTCTGTAGAACACAGGTTCCAATTTGTAGGGATGCTGAGGGGAAGGAACATATTGATGTAACGTTTCCATTTTAAGGTTCCATTTTTCTATTTCTTTTGATGTGTAAGTGGGGTTTTGCCTGTCAAAAGTTGATGGCTTCACCCCTTCAACCATGAGAGAGACCTTTCCTATCGTGTGATTGTACAGTAATAGATCATTAAGATTTTGTTGTTCGAAATATAAGTGTTTTCTACAAGAATCCGTTTTTTCCTTGCTTGAAAATGAAACCATTTGCCTCCTTCAACTAAAGCTAAATCAATTGCTTGGAAGCAGACAAACGATTTGACACACAATGGGGGGTGGGTGGGTATTTATTATGCAATATCTTATTCACATGGGGGTTTCATGTGAGTATTCTGGAGGGATTCTATAAACCTGTACACACAGACTAATTATTCTAATAAAGCTTATTGACATTCTAAATCCAATTATACCAGATAAATTTGTCCAATTCATTTTAGCTTGAAACGCTTAAAATTCGACATACACATGCACTACAGAGATCAACAAAGTAAGGCATTGAATTTGTGAAGATTAAGCCCTTCCTTGATCATCATTTTTTTAAGAAGACATTTTTCTCTCTTCTTTTGAATTACACATTCTTTAATAAAATAATATTATACGTAAATTTAAAACTTTTACTTATTTTTTAATCACACAGTCTCTATCAATATACAATTATTAGGAAATAATGGGGCTTAAACAAGCCCTAAATAATGTTTGTAATGCAGAAGTTAGGTGATTGTCTAAGGCCTCCAAATTATTGACACAAAGAAGCAAAATTCGTATCCGTTTAGAAGGCTTACAGGGGAAGTCGAGGCATGTTTGTTTTGGGTGGTTAAATAAAAAAATATCAACCTTAGGGCGTGTTTGATTGGCCACATTTTTCGTTTTCCATCAAAATAGCTTGTTTGATTGCAACATTTTTTAGGGAATTCCATTTCCACCTTTTCCCCTACACGTGCATTTTCCATGAATTGGTGGAAAACCAGCTTTAATGGTTTTTTATTTTTTTTATTTTCAACAATGGGAACAAATTTTATCCATAATTGTAAAAAATTATATCCCTTTAATTGACAATTTTCATAAAAAATAAAGACAAACAAACACCAAAAAATTCAAAATTTCAATATTTTTCAGGTGAAAAATTATACCAATCAAATACATTTAATTGATAATTTCCAGAAAAACAAGTTTTAAATAATTCAATTACCTGAAATTCTTTTTCTTTTCACCCAAATTTAACTGTTGCAATCAAACGGACCCTTATAAGAAAATAAAGCAAGGTTTGCATGTTTGGGAGAAGTTGTGGGATCCACTTATTTTTAAGCAACATCATGATGAAATTGCCCTGTTAATTCCCTAAATGATCATTGAACTTTTCTTGAAGTTCCTATGGGTCACTGCACTTAAAAAATTGTCCTGTTAATCACTTAACTTTGAAAATTGGTATCTTATCCATCATCGCATAAAAAATGCTTGCAAAATCGAAAGGATTTGATTGCATGTCTAACGGTTTAACTTACGTGGCAAATCATTGTAATAAAAAAGAAAAAAGAAAAGGAAAAGCCAAATCACTGCATAAATCACGCATTCAACGATCATTAAAAAGAAAACACCCAAATATGTATTCGACGATTTGTAAATAAGAAAGTCACATACCTGTAGACTCGTGCTCAATTTCACAATTTGGCATCTTTTTATTACAATGACATGCCATGTAAGCCATATCGTTAGAAATGCCATCAAATCCCTTCAATTTCGCAAATGTCGCTTATGCAGTGACGATGGGGTACCAATTTTCAAAATTAAGTGACTAACGGAAGAAGTTCTCAAATTCAGTGACCCTGTGGGAATTTTAAGAAAAATTCAATGACCATGTAGGGAATTAACCACATGTTCGAGCATGCCTAAAAATAAGTCGCTTATTATTAGCATAAGCCGCGCTTACTCCATTTCCTAAAAAACAATCCATCCATGTTTAATACTAAACCAACATGTTTTAAATATTTTTTGTCTTACTACTCTCTCTCAAGTTCCAACATCGAAATGCAAATTTCAGTAGCTTAAAGCTCTTTCCTAGAAACATTAATTTGACAACCATTATTTTAAAACTTTTTTTTTTTTTGTTTTTTACGTACTCATTTTCAATTACATTCTGCACGTAAATTCAAAATTTTCCTACTTTTTAACCATATATTTTCTTAAAAATCATTATTCAAAATATTGTTTTCATCAATAATGGCCATCAAACAACTTGGATGAGAATCCACCAGACACAAGCTCTTCTTTGGCAGCATACAGAAAAACTATGTCGACTTTCAACAGTAAAACAAAATAATAGAAATTGGCGCAAATCTTTCCTAAGCACAAAATTTAGGATTTGAATACCTTGCTAGGCCATACAACAGAATGCAGACAAACCGACGATCCCGCCACTCAATCATCCACCATTGACTCCGGTCTTCTACTTTATAAACCATAACAGTCGGCAGAGTGTACGTACAAAATATCTTTAACGGAGAAATGAAATGTGTGGTTGAAAAGTTAATAAAAATATGGATCAAATGACATGTGTGACCAAAAATGAATTTGAAGAAAAATGAGTTTTAGAAATGAAGACCGAATAGAGACTAAATTAGATGCGTGAAGATGGTCTGCCACCCGAGAGCAAGGGGCCAAGCCTCGTCTTTCCGGCCTCTACAAGCTGAGGCTCAGGCCTCCAACTGATCTGTTCAAGTCAATCCGTTTTACACTAACTTCCACTCGGTAACGAAAGGATGAGCAAATGAAAATTGGGAAGTAAAAATTAGGGGGAAAAAAAAATTATAACTGGTCAAGGACAACATAATAAGAAGAGGGTAAAAACAACTGAAGTATTATTATTTATTAACATTATCTGGAACTCAATAGAGAGGATTCTCACACCTGCGAGTGAATAAAAAATAATTAATTTGAATCTACAAGTACACCCCCTAGCACGCCATGTCCAAGTTTTGCTGCCCATCCATAAGAGACATTTTCATTCAGAAACCCGTGAATGCACATCCTTTTGATTAAATAGGTGGACTAGACAGGCGATTATGCATAACTAGTTGCAGTTTTTCATTCGTAAAACTAACATTAAATTAACGAGTGCGTCCCCACCACTTCACCAGTTGAAGTGATCAGTTTTACTTGTATTTTAACGACACACACCAGTGTTTTCAATCCTGTTACATGTACTGGGCCGATTGACAAATTTTTTGACAGATTGTCAACTGTCAAGATTTATCGACTATTAGAAAAAAAACACGGGGCAACCAGCCAATGCGGTATGAATTCAGCTACTTTGTTGGAAAATATTGACATCCTAGTTGATAGATGTATTGACGGCACGAAATGATTGGTTGTAAAAGTTGATTGTTTTTAAAAAAGCTCAGTGATAGTGGCATTTTGTCAAGGAAGATGTCAAACTTTTCTAGTAATGTAGCATGGTTGATACAGTATTACCACTTGTAGGTTTCCCCTGTACAGGGAGCTTAATTCCAGTGTTTTCAGGTAAATGAGGAGGGTTACAGTAGGTTCACGTATACGCTTATATAGACGATACCGATAGTGCCGACTTTCCAGTTTTCTGTGTTACTTTCTAAGGTCATGGCATCTCCCATTCTCAAGTCCTTCCTGCTTCTATCTTCTCTCTTCTCATTAACATATGCTCTTAGCTCTTCATCATCTTCAATTTCATTTTTAGACTCAAATATTTCTGCAATCAGAATAGTTTGCAGATCAACACCATTCCCTGAAGCCTGTTTTGATTCACTGAAGCTATCCATCTCAG